GATGGTGACGACGACCTTGTCGCAGGCTTTTACTAGTTTAAATTGACCAATTTTAATGAAATAATTTGACTCCGTTAAAAATCCAACGAAAATAATAATAATAATAATAATAATTTTTTTTTATTTAAATTTTATTATCAAATCACGACGAACGTGTCTGTTTTTTCTTCCCCCTTCCCTTCTCTCCTCCCCTTTCCCCCCAATTAAATCACTCTTACAATTTTTTGTTTTCTTTCAAGTCTTCATCACGAAAAAATGTCTATTACGACTCTGTTAAATTTTGTCGTTGAGAGAGAAAGAGAGAGAGAGAGAGAGAGAGAGAGAGAGAGATGTATGAAAAAATTTTACTTTTTCTGTGTGTGTGTGAGTGTGCGTGTGCGTGTGCGTGTGTCACCCACGCATTTTTTAAAATACAATTTTTACAATGCGACGACGACGACGACGACGACGACCTTGTCATTGTCAAATTTAAATTTTTTTTTTTTTTTTTTTTTGTAATTTATTAATTCGTAACAAACAACCAGAAAAAAAAGAAAATTGTGTGTGTCGGGTGTCGATTCATTAATGCGTGACATTATTATTATTATTATTATTATTTTTTCTAGAATCTTCTTCTTCTTCCGCGGATAAAATAAAATTGGGAAATAAAAAAGAAATATCGTCTACTATTGCCAAATCGACGACGACGACGACAAACGCGACGACGAATTTTCACGGCGAAAAAAAAGTTGATGATGAAAAACATGAAAATGTGAAAATTTTAAGCGAAAAAGATTCGTCGGAAAATCTTCACATAACTCGTAAATGAAACTTTTATTATTATCATTATCATTATTATTATTATTAATATTTTTACGTCCGACCGACTACGTTTTGACGTATTTTTCCATTTAAGGATTGAAAACAAATACATAAAAGTACCATGTTGATGATGATGATGATGATATATTATTTCTTTCCTTTTTTTTTTTTTAAAGATTTGGCGGATGTGACGTCATCGTCGTCGTCCTCACCACCTTTGGCAACTTCAAAAACGATTTCATCTTCTTCTTCTTCCAATGCCACGATGTCGTCGACGACGACGACGACGACGACTCAAAGTATTATATCATCGACGAACAAGACGAAAGATTCCGTCGTTCCGAGTCGTCTTTTAAACTCATCATCAGATCAAGACATACAAATAGCAAAAATATTCGACACGAGCGGTTTAAACGAAACATTGAAAAAATTTAACATATCCTCGACGAAACAGGTATCGATTTATCGATCGATCGATCGATCGAAGTATGCGCACACACACATCTCGAATCGACAAATTAATTTCGATTTATTTTAATTATAATTTAAATTACAGGATCATCATTTGTATTACAATAGTTCTTTCGTCGTGGATCCGAAAATGGGTAAAAGGTATTGGGTGGATCTCGATAAACATCCGGACGTTAAAGTGAGCGATATTTTATCACAGGCATACAGGAGAGCGATGGTAAACCATTTCATTTCATTTTTACAAATCGAACAATATTCGATTCTCGTTGTTGTTTGTTTGTTTGTTTGTTTGTTCCAGACGGTGAAATTATCATTCGATTTTCCCTTTTACGGTCATCCCATTCGTAACATAACGATAGCGACGGGTGGATTTATTTACACGGGAGATTATGTCCACGCGTGGTTGGCAGCAACTCAATACATTGCTCCGTTAATGGCGAATTTCGACACCACACTATCCAACCAATCATTCGTTAAATATTTAGATAACGGTTCGTTTTATTGTTTTTCCCCCTCGAGTTACCTTATAAGCAGTAGTAATAATAATAATAATAATAATAATAATAATAATAATCATTTAACGTTTTATCATTTTTTTTTTTTTTTTTTTTTTTGTTTTGATCGTATTAGGAACTGCATTTACCGTTCAATGGGAGAACGTGATGCTTCAAGATAAACGTGATAAGGGTGGATTCACGTTTCAGTGCACTCTTCACGAAAATGGCGACATTGTTTTCGTGTATAAACAAGTCGCCGTGTTCATCGATGAGATAAACGACGATCAACATCCGGTTAAAATCGGACTCTCGGATGCTTACATAATCGATAGAACGATATTTTGTGAGTTTTTATTTATTTATTTCCCTCCCTCCCCCGATTTTGGGTTATTACAAATGTAATTATTATTATTATTATTATTATTTCAGTCGTCCGAAGGAAAACGATTTACGAATATCACAGAGTCAATTTCGAAAAGCAAGACATTAAAAATTGGACCGTCATCGTTTTAAGAGCTTTGGACACTTGTTTGGACATGAAAGATTGCAATTCGTGTTTGACGCAATTGAAAAATCTCAGAGTAATTAATTTTTTTCTTTGTATACTCACCCCCCTCTCCCTTCTTCTTCTTCTTCCCCCCCCTGTCTCCCCTCTCCCCCTCCGGGAAAAACTCCAACTTTAAACTCGAAAAATGAATTTTTCCAGTGCAATTGGTGTGCGAACAGGTGTTCGAACGGTATGGACAGGCACAGACAAGACTGGATCTCAAACGGCTGTGATAAAACGAAATTGAAAACGGTGGATCAATGTCCGAAAGAAGAAGAAGTGGAACATTTCGAGAAAATGCAAACTCCTCTCGCTCACACAGTACACAACAGTTCGTAAATCTCATCAATTTTCTCTTTCTCTCTCTCTCTCTCTCTCTCTCGAAGCGAATTTATTATCATTATCGTAACGTTGGTGTATTTTTTTTTTTTTTTTATTTCCAGAGGAAGGAAGCGTGATCGGAAGCGTGTTTTTAATTTGTTTAGCATTAGGGATCGGAATGTGGTTTTTCTACGCCTACAGGAATCCTCACACTCCTGCCGGACAATTTTTAATAAGGGTAAAATTTTAAACTATTTATTTCGCTGTTGCGATAAAAAAAAAAAGTTTGTTTGTTCGATAGATCGATCGATCGATCGATCGATACATTGAAATTAAAAATCGATTCGTTTTTTAAAATGATTTTCAGTATCGTCCAAGTCAGTGGTCGTGGAGAAGAGGAGAAGCTCGTTACACGGCAGCAACGATACACATGTGACGGAGAATCATCGTATTATTATTATTAATTTTATTTTTATAGATATTTTATTATTATTATTATTATTATTATTATTGCTATTATTATCAATCATCATCATCATCATCATATTCATCATATTCATTATCATCATTATTATTATTATTATCGGACGATAAATCAAATTTTTTTATTTTAAATATTTAATATAACTATTAACGCGATTATTTTTTGAACAAAATCAATATTAATAATGATAATAACAACGGTTTTTTATCCACGTGTTAAAAAAAAAAAAAGGAAGTGACGTCATAAAAATTTTTAAAAATATTTTGATACGAAACAAAAAGAAAAAAGAAAAAAAATTATTTTTTTACTATAATTGTTATTAAAAATTTTTAATTATTTTTGTATGTAAAATAATGTATCCGTCTTAAATGATTTTATTATTATTATTATTATTAATATTATTATTATTTTTTATAAAAATATATATACATACATAAATTTTATACTTATATATTAATAAATAATAATAACTAGGGTCGTTAATATGTTAGCAAGTGCCAACTTCAAATAAGTGTATATTTAATAATAATAATAATGATAATGATGATAATAATAGTAATAGTAATAATAATAATGATTAACAAATGGAAGATTATTGACGTTTTATATATGTATAAATAAATAAAATGAAAAAAAATGTAAGGATCGATGTCGTATATTAACGACGAAAAATGGCGGGGGGGGGGGGAAACTAATAATAATAATAATTAATATGATAAATTAAACGATGTGCCTTTTATATTAAAAAAAAGAAAAAAAAAGAAAAATTTATTTGTATACGTTGTATTTCCGTTTTGTACGGTTTTTTTTCTATTTGTTTAAACGCTCGCATTTCCGGTTGTTTTGTCACTTATTAAATTTTTTAGATATTATCTCTCTTTCTCTTTCTCTCTCTCTCTATTTCTATCTATCTATCTTTATCTCGCTTTCGTTAATGGTATTAATGTATGTAATAATACTCTTTGGGTTGTGTAAGATGATTGTTTTTCTAATTTTCCAAGGTATTTATTGTTTTTTTGCAATGGAAACGAGTTTAAAATAATAATGATAATATAACAATTTTTTTATGGAATTGATTTAACTGATAAAAGCGAGCTTTTCTCCTTTATTATTGGTGACGATACATAATAATGATAATTTTTTTTTTTTTTTATTATTATTATTTGTGATTAATTTGTTAACGAATTTTTTTTTTTTTTTACGTAATAATTGTTTTTAATAAATAATAATAATAATGATAATAATTTGATTGACAGTCGCATGAAATTAAATTTTTTTTTTTAAATAAAAACTGTAAAACGGCTGTGGTGGTTCATTTTTTATTGTCTTTATTTTTTAATGAATAAATTACTGGTTGTACAGTTTTTTAATTTTTAATAAATAAATAAATAAAAAAACTTATTTATATTTTTTATTATTATTATTATTATTATTATTATTATTACTTGGATTTTTTGTTGGGGGGCGGGACAGGGAAGGAGGAGGGATTTTAAATATGGTAGAATTGAAATCATTTCAAACGATTCATGTTTGTTTACATACAAATATTGAGAGTGATGACGTCAAAAAATTGAAAACTCTGACATTTCTCCCTTGTTTCAAACATTCGCAAACGACATTTTGAAGTGATGTGAGGTGTTGTTCAAATTTGTTAGAAGTGTTGTATTTTTTTAAAAATGTGTCGTCTGAACGAGATTTCAAATCGTAGAATAAGGTAATTAATTAATTTATTTGTTTTTTAAACGAATAAACAACAATCAGAAAACGAATGAATCGGAAATTCGCGAGAATAAACGAAAAAAGAAAAAAATCATTTTCACTTTTGAAAAATTTTTTTAAAAATGAAATTAAAATACTTTTGTCACGATGAATCGTTCACGGGGTAAAAAAATCATTTTTGGAAAAATTCGTACAGTATTTTTTTAGTTATTTTTTTTGAAAAGATTTCAACTTTCGAAAATTACAACGAAAATACGTTCGTTTTAGAGAAAATTTATAATACTTTCTAACGTTTTTTTCCATTTTTCTTTTTCTCTTCTTAACGACATCTATTGAAATTTTTTAAAAACTAAATTATCACGCCGGTAATTTAATAATTTTCCGCTAGGTGTCGTACGGGTACAAAAATAATAGACTTTCGAAATCGTATAATTTATATTCTTTTTCCAATCAATCAATCAATCAATCAATCAATATTGAATGTTTTTTTGAGCAACGCGATTAAATTATTTTATTTTAAAAAATTATTTCCTCCGCGTATAATCGAATAATAATAATAATAAATAAATAAAACATGAATAGGATGTGTTTATTTTTTTTATTTATTTTTATTTATAAATTATTTACCATTTTTTTAAAATAAATTTATTTGGAAAAAAAAATTATTTAAATATATATATATATATATATAAAACTACAAAAGAGTGCGAATTAATATGACAATTAATAATAATAATAATATGATAACAATAAAATGATAACAAAAATGGTGCGCAATTAATAAATATTACGTATGTAATAATAATAATAATAATAAAATCAATACGATTTATTTTGTGCGTTTGTTCGTTATAAAAACCAAAAAAAAAAAAAAAAAACTATTTTATTATTATTATTATTATTAATATAAATAATAAATACGCGTGCGTAAAGTATCTAATCGAAAAATAACGTAATAATAATAATAATAATATTAATTCCGTATTTACAACAAACGGAAAATTAATTTTCTCTCTCTCTCTTTCTTTTTTTTTAAAATAAATTTACGCGCGTAATTAAATTACCTTTCGACAATTTTTTAAAAAAATTAATTTACGCGCGTTTTTTTTTTTAAATTTTTCTTACCATCGATGATCGATAATCGATAATCGATCGATAACTCTATACATTTAGTTAATTCATATTAGTTTGAAATCAATCAATAAAAAAAAAAAAAAAATTTGTTTGTTTCATTTACAACAAACGAACGTTATACCATTAACGCCACGTTCGATTAAATAATAATAATAATAATAATAATAATAATAATAATAATAATAATAATAATGATAATAATAATAATAAATTGCCGAAAGGTTAACAATAATTTTAAATATATATATTATTTCCCTTAAGTTTAATAAATAAATTATTAAAAAAAAAAAAAAAATTATTAAAGTACATGACGTAAATGATGATTTCTACTATGATGATGATGATGATGATGATGATAATAATAATAATAATATCACTTTGTAAAATAAACAATTTGTTTAAACAATAGGCACTATATATAAATATATTTATTAACAATAAACGTTAAATAAATTTAAAAAAAATAATAATAATAATAATAATAAACCCCTCGAATGGGTTGTAAAACAAAAATATTATTATTATTATTATTATTATTATTATTAACATTTATTTATTTATTAT